CTCTTTCTCTCTTTCTCTCTTTCTCTCTTTCTCTCTTTCTCTCTTTCTCTCTTTCTCTCTTTCTTTCTCTCTTTCTCTCATTTTTTCTTTCTTTCTTTCTTTCTTTCTTTCTTTCTTTCTTTCTTTCTTTCTTTCTTCTTGTTCTTCACTGGACGGTCAGTAGCCACCAGATCCACATCAGAGGAAAATTATGGTTCCGCTAACAACTGGTGGCTTTTGAACATGGCTGGCATCCTCACGAAGTTGCGCAACGATTGAGCATAACAATACAAACTCTTTCAAAGAGAACAGAGCCCAACAACATCTGGTTTGCATATTTAGTTGGGGTTTTTTTTTCCCTTGTAATTATAGTATTGCTTCATTTAGGAACAGTTTCAAACAGTCATTTTTTTCCCAGTGTTTTTTGCAACAAAATTCAGTACAATATTATACAGAGAAAAACCACTGAAAATTCACTCTTCCGTTGACTTCTCCTTCTTCATCGTCAATGTCTTCTCCACCATCTGATAACACACAGTTCAATTTTTCTCTGGGATGTAAGATTATTTAACATCGATAAAGAGGTGATAGACGGACAGACAGGGTGACAGAAATATGAGTATGCATGTGTACTTATGTTATGCAATTAATCCCAATTTGTGATTTTCAGTTTCTCAGCAATCAAGGCCCATGGTGGGAAATAAGCACCTGAAAAAGTTCACCCAAGGCACACCCATTTATGGAGTTTATTTCCTAAGTGTAACACTTTATCTGGCATGCTTAAACTGGCTGTTACACCTTCCCTAATGTGTAGCAGGGTTTGAATATTCAAAAAATGTTCTCATAAATGTACAAGCTCGAGGTGTGGCACGACAAAGCTTTTCACGCAGGCTTGAAAACGCGCTTTATGGAATAGAGAACCTGAATTCCTAGTGTCTTTGGGTATCAGAAGGAAAGAAGATGGAAGCTCGGAGAAGCAACATAACAGTTGGAGAGTTCAAGGCAGAAGGAAAATGTCTTCGGGGAAAGCCTTCCATGAAAAGACTTCGACTCTGATTTAATTTTGGATGTTATTTGGAACCCTGATGCCATGTTGACTTGCATGAAAGAGGAGCAAGAGGTATCTCTCTTCCTCTTCTCGAGGACAATGAGACATGGGAACATAGAAAGCCTAATCTCAATTACTATTAGCGTTATTGTCATTACCAACGCAGCATCTAAAAAAAGATCTAGAATCAGGGGAGCATTTCAAAAACACAATTCTGGATCCTTTTCCAGTAGTCATCTGGACCGGATTGGTGAGCCCACCCACCCACCCCAATTCTGAATTAAATCAAGATAGCTTAGCTACATGAATTTCACCCATGGAGGATAGGGTTGACTTGGGACACTGTGTGGTGTGCAGTTCTTTCTTTCTGGATTTGCATTTCTGAGCAATTGCAGAGTAAGTACTGGCCCATCCCTTTACCTTGAGGAGTATATTTCTGGAGGCCCTGATTTTTCCTTGTTTTCTTGTCATGTTGGGTTGCTATCACCTACAAAAGGTAGAGATTCAGTGGAGGCGGTCCAGATTTACTCCAAAATCATAAGGCGAGGCTGCCATCTTCTGGAGAAGGTCTGTAATCCTTACCACTACATATGGTACATTCCTTGGTGTTGAGTATAACTTGCTGAACTACACTTTCCAGGAGTCCAAGGCAACTTGGACAATGGTGTGGGATGCTGGGAAATGTAGTCCAGCATCATCTGGTAGCTCATCCTTTGAGCCCCAAATTAAGATTCCCAACTCAACTGAATTCCAGCTGTATTTACGGCAGAGTTTCAAGGTGAAATAATTCACTTAAATCTCTGGATTACTGAAAACAATCAAATTACTTTCCCAAAACGGACAGCAGGATCCAAAGGCCCCAGGAGAAATTCTGCATCAAAGAAAGCGTACTGTGGACATACGGTCTAATAAATTGTTTTATTGTACTCTAAATAATCACAGAAAAAAAGGACAATTTGTCTCCCTTTTCTTCAGAAACCTTTTCCAGCCATAAATCCATGGTGAGGAGTAAACAACAGATAAAAACACTTTCTTGGGGGGGGGGGAACATTATCAGGAGATTTTGGAAGGGCGAAGAAGAAGTCAGGAAGAACTTGAACCAGTTGCAAAGGAGAACTTTGGTTTCCATGGACTGAAAAATGACCCGCAACTCCAACTGAGCCACCATTCATCCACAGCTTCTTAACGCACACTGTCTCCTCACACTGCCCAACAGCTGGCTTGAACCCAGTGGGTGAAGTTCTCTCAGGATGAGACCCTCGGTAGCCGAACCTCGCTGAAGGTCTTCTGGTCTTCCGATTGTGGTCCACGCTCACTCTTGGATGAGGCAAACCGGAGGCGTGCCATGGGAATATTCGGAGTGGCGAACACCCAGGCTGAAGCATGGGGCTCTGGGCTTGTGGAGGGTGACCCGTTCCGCGCAATAGTCCAGAGGCCCCGGAGTATGTTCCTTGCAGGAAGGAATCAACCTTTGAGACATTGTATAGGATGGTTGATGTCGCAAGTAAACATCTGGCTCTGGAACCGTGTAGGCGGCTGGGCCAGGCCCTTTTCTCACCACATAATCTCGCCCGGGAGCGATGGAAGAGATCGACGGGCAGGGGTATGCCCTTTTATTGGGCACCTTGGGGCCCAGCGTCTCAGGCATTGCATATTTGTTGGGAGCCGGATTTGGGCTGTTCAGCCAGTAGGGCGTTCTCGCACCGATGGTATACGAGGGAGCATTCGCTTCATCAATAGGGTGCAGTTTCTCCACGTGATACTCATTCGGGGAAGGAGTTATCACTACATCTAGGAAGCCAGAGAATATTATTACTGGCAATTGAGTCTAAAAGAACAAACAGAGTTGGAAGGGACCTTGGAGGCCTTCTAGTCCAGGGGTCGGCAACCTTAAACACTCAAAGAGCCTTTTTGGACCCGTTTCCCACAGAAAAGAAAACACCCGGAGCCACAATATATTTCCCATGCCTGACTATTTCCTGAGCAGCCACAGAACTAGCCAAGGTAGTTGAATTAAACGCTCTGTTTTCTGCTGAAACTTTACTTTCCTTGGATTTATCCGTGGTTGGCATACCAGGGGTCGAAAAGCTCAATAAATCACGCGTCCAGCAGGCGTCGCACATTGGCAGTTGTGACACATACTTTGANCAACACCCACTCCCTTCTAGCACTGATGATGTTCCCTAGTTGGGTCCTGAAACATCTGCAAAAAACCCCATTAAGCTCAGAGAGCATCAAGGACAGCTGTCCTCCTCCTCCACCTCTTCTTCTTCCTTCTCCTCCTCCTCCTCCCCTTCGCAACCCCCTCCTCCACTTTGCAACCCCCTACCTTCTAGCACTGATGATGTTCCCTAGTTGGGTTACGAAGTGTCTGCAAGAAAACCACCAAGTTCAGAGACCACCGAGGACCCCATAATTCTCCTCCTCCTCCTCCTCTTTCACTCATTGCAACCCTTGGCAACTGTGGAGCTGAAAACCTTGGAAGAACCCTGAGAATCCTCCTCATTTTTCAAAACCGCTTAACTATTTTAGGCAGCAGAGACAAGACAAGCCAGAACAGTGGATAACGGTACCAGCTAGAATTCATCATCTGAAATGCACAACTATCTATCTGCATCTCCTGACACAGAGGAGCAGCCAATTATCTGGCGGCAGGGCGTGTGTGCCTACGTGTCTCTGGGCCTGTGGTTGTGTGCATGTGGAAGGCAGAAGGAGAAGCGACAACGTGAGGACATACATCTCCTAGCAGAGGTTCAGATTACAATCTCGGTTTCCACCTTCTCCAACGGCTCCTCTTCAAACAATACCTGAGTTTTAATTGAAAACAGAAAGCTAAGGCTTTTGAGGATCTCAAAAATACATCCCGTCATTCCCCCCCACCCTGCCCATCTCTCTCTCTCTCTCTTTCTCTCTTCCCCCACCACCCCCAGCCCAATTCTCCATCCCATTGTTTTCTCCTCAGTCCCGTTCAAGCTTCATTGGTGAGTTTTCCCTCTCCTCAGAGGGAGCCCATCTGTCTTCCCGCAGATTAGAAAGTTGTCACTCTGTTGACAGAGCTATTCATCATGGCGGTGGGGGAAATTAGTTGGACGGGGAGGGGTTCCAGCCTTGGAGGGTGGGTGATGGGATCCAGGCCTCATCCGAATGGCTTCTCAGAAAAAGTTACAGAGAGCCAGCTTACTGTCTGCATGCTCAATTTCTCTGCTCCGACCAATTTGAGGGCTCATGGGTAGAACGTTTACCCCCCAACATACTCCGACTCTGCTTTGAAGGGAAACGTGGTTCAGATGTTAGGAAAATCCACTGATTGATGCTCCATTTTCCTAGCTGTTTTCTTTTTAATGGGCACCAATGGAAATGTCCTCAATTGACGGGGTCGTAAGGAGCAGAGTGGCTGAAGGAATCTCCATCCTGGTCCTTTAGGTTTCCCCCACAGTGTATCTACCACTTTAGGAAGGAAGGAAGGAAGGAAGGAAGGAAGGAAGGGAAGGGATTGAGATTTCTGGGAGTTGAAGCTCACCCATCATAAAGTTGCTACAGCTGAGAAACGCTGCATTAGAAGAATCCTGGTGGACGGAAACCCACCAAATCCAACTAATCCAACACAGATGCATTCATTGAACCCAGCTCTCCAATCCTGGCATCCGGACATATTGGACATGGTGGGAAGCCTGGCTGAATGCAGGATCAGACTCACGGGCTTGGTGGCCAGTGTGGTTCTCCGTCACAGGAATGGTCACAGCCGAGCAGAGGATCGTATGCAGACGATACCAGACTTGATAGTCCCATCCTCCAAATTTTTATTTTTATTTTAAATATATATCAAATTCCGGCTGGTCCCAGAACAGCAACCAGTTTTCCCCTCTCCAAATGACAGCCCTATTAATCCTTGGGATTCATTTCTAAAGTCTAGCTTTTAATTGCTGATGCGTTGCTGCGTTTTGATTCTTCCCCCCCCCCTCCTGTCTTCTATGGCTTTTGGCAGGAACAGCTTCCCTGCAGATCCAGATGTGTAGATATTAAGGCCCACTTTGCACAGGCCCGTTTAGTATCTGACGATGCTGGCAATTAAGCAAAGGCTGACAACAAGTATGTCATAATAACCACCAAGGTTCACACACCACAGCGAGGGCCCTTCTAATGACTACTAAATCAACTGCTGATCCGAACCCTTTTTCCACGCGGTTATTTTCACCCTCTCCCCGTTCAGTTTGAGGGAGCAGATGTGGCTTTTGATGTCTTTTTTTCCCCCGCCCTCAAGGAGAAGAAAAATTCTGCAAAGCTGCAGAAATGTTTTCTCAGCCGAGGAGAGAAAAAGGAGGTTTCGAACCAAGGCAGACGCAGATCGCTTCCCAACCATACCTCAAGTGAGTCCTGAGTCCATCCATTAGGAAGTCCATGTGATGTCAGATCAAACAGCTCGCAATGCCTTAATGTATCACTAATTAATGAGAGCTGGAATATGTACATTACCTAATTTCTAGGATTCTGCAATCTAACTCTTTCTTTTTTTCCCCCTGGCGTTAAAACCTGATTAATGAGATCTTGTGTGTTTGGTTTTGTAGGACTATCCTCAAGGTCCTTCTCACGGGTGTTGTGGTCTGCCAGCAGCCTGCAGAGCTGGCAACAGATTCAGACAGGGAGGGAGGTTGGGGAGGAAGATGGCCCAGTCCTGGAGTCCGGGGAAGGCTCTGATGAGGGCTCTGTGTTGGAGGCAGAGAGGGGGCCAGAGCCATCTGGGAGTTATGTGCTGCCTCCAGAGTAGGACAGCAGCAAGGCAGAGGAACAGGCTCCCCCTGTCCCCAGTGTGCACATGCGCAGAGCTGCCAGAAGGCAAAAACAGTTAAGACAGAAGGGACGACTTGGGAGTAAGGCTTGGAGGTGATTGGCCCCTCCCATAGGACATAAAGGAGGAGCAAAGGAATGGGAGCCTTTTCAGGAAGCAACTTAGTTCATGCTGGTCCGTTTCCATTCTGAAGCTCTGTTTTGACTCTGTGCTCCATGTGGCCTTGCCAAGCGAACTGCCAATTAAGTCTTTGGCAGCATTTCCAGGGAGATAAAGGTGGGTGCTTATCAGCCTTATCCCGAAGGACTTTGGCACCCTCCAAGGTCCATTCCAACTCGATTATTCTGTTAAGTCTGCAACCTCCTTGGCTTCTCATGCTTCAGTTGAAACCCAGGGACAGGATAATTCATCTTAGGGAATTCTTGTGTTGTTTTCAGATCAAGAAGAGGGACAATCCAAGGTCCCTGACACATAGCCAGTTCAATCAAGGAGTGTCATATTCTTTCTAAGATGTCTATCCCAGATAGAGACGGAGCAGTTCAACTTGATTGCATGGCCAACACTCAACTGCTTGAGGACTTCTGATGGTCACCATCCTGACCTGGAGTAAGAGGCACTGGCCTAGCCCCTTGGCTGTTGAGGTGGCTTCCATGATGGCAGCATCTTCCTGCTTCTCCTCTGAGGTCTCCTAGAGCAGTGGTTCCCAAACTTGGCAACTTTAAGACTTGTGGACTTCAACTCCCAGAATTCTCCAGCCAGCTCTCCGCCCAGGCGCCTAGCTGTCGCCAGAAAATACTTTCAGTTTCCAAACAGCCCTCATTGGCTGACTTAGTTGCTATGCCTGTTCATTGGCTGACCTCGTTACCAATGCCCTATTCCAGTTCATGAATATTCTGTCAGAGTGTCCTCTAACTTATTTATCCCTTAGTTCAGTGTTTCTCAACCTTGTCAACTTGAAGATGTCTGGACTTCAACTCCCAGAATTCCCCAGCCAGCAANGCATGCTGGTTTGAATGAGGGCGACGTTGCTAGGAGCGGGGCATCACCCCAGCAGCCCAACGGGGGGTGGGTGGGGGTAGGGTAGGGTGGGGTAGAAGGATGGGGTGCGCCGGGGTTTCCCATCACCCCCACGCCCCCGTCCCGCGGGCCCTCCTTGCTTCCCTACCGGCTGCGCCCGCACCCACTTTTTGGGGGTTCGCCTTGCAAGATGCGCGCAATTCTGCAGCCCGTTTAGCGGAGCCCGGTGGACGGCACGGCGGGTGCCCCCCAACCCTTCCACACACACCCCCAGGTGCCAAGCCCATTGTTTCCGCTCAAGATGCCCGGACGGCTTTCTCCCCACGATCAGGCGAGGAAAGGAGAGGAGGGGTCGGTCCCAGATTTTGCCCTCCGAAGCCCGCTAGTGCCCTGGCATGGCACCGAGCCTGCAAGCCGGGGAGGGCAGCGGGGAAGGCAAGCTGGGGGGTGGAGGTGGGAAGGAAGGGCGGGGCAAGCCAAGGGGGTCTCCCTCTCCCTCCCCGCCCCAAAAGAGGCAGCGTCTTGCCGGAGGGTCTCCCAGGTGAGACGTCCTGCAAAGCGCCCGCGGTGCCCACCGGGCAGCGAAGCCAACATCCCCCGGGGCTGGGCACGGGGGGGGAAAGGGGGTCCCGTCGTCACCCCTCTTGGCCAATACACCTCCCCTACACACAAACACGCGCGCGCGCATCCATAAAGCGAGAGAGGTACCTGCGGTGCCCAGGAGAAGCCAAGTCCAGACGAGGTCCGTGCATCGGAGCATGGTCAACGGCCGGCCGCCGCGGGAGTTGCGCTGCATAGATGCAATTTTTTTTTTTTCCTGGACAGCTACAGCTGTGGCTCTCGCCCGCCTTGGTCTCTTTTCCCCCCTTCTTCAATAGGGACCTGGGTGGGTCAACCCGGGAGAGATGCCAGGCGAGGAGGAAAGAGGGGAGGGGGAGGAAAAAAAGGGGGAACGCAAAACCCCCCGGAACGGTCCAACCGACCTCGCTCTGCAGACCTGCCCCGTTTCTTNCCAGAATTCCCCAGCCAGCGAATGCTGGCTGGGGAATTCTGGGAGTTGAAGTCCGGACATCTTCAAGTGGCCAAGGTTGAGAAACACTGTGCTAAACAAATGGATTGTAAGTCCAGGATTGACTGTGTGCTGAGCTTTGAGTTAGAAAATAATTCCCACGAAATGCCAGGAAGTCTGTACTAACTACCTTTGCAAAATCAGCCCGATCTTACTTGCTCGTGTTGTTAAAACCATGGATAGAAATGCAATCCTCAGAAATTTCGCTTAGCCCGTGCAAATGTTTCCCCCCTCCCCTTCTATATTTAATTATTCACAGAGCCACCCAGGAGGGGATCTATGTGAAGATTTTGTTGCGATAGTCAACACTGGGAAAGAGAGAGGAAGACACAAAAAGAGACTCAATGAAAGGTGCCTGAGGTTCAGCTAATTGGAGGGAGGGGGAAGCCCAATTATTTTCCACTAGTAACTTCATTTTGCCTAAAATACTAGAAAATGCTTCGGTTGAAGACGCCCCTTTGTCGTAACACGCAACATAATTTGAGATGATTAACTGTTCTTTCTGCTTAAAAAGAGGCTCGGAAAATGCAGGTAATTGTTTGCTTTTTGATTGCCAAGGGAATAATCAGAACTGCAAGATGGCATGTCAAAGAGAGCAGACCGACAAGTGTAAACTAATTTACCCATCTTATTAAACATAATTTGTTGTTTTCTTTCTTCTTTTTTTTTAAAGCAGAGAGGGAAAACTACCAGTAAGCAAAGCGCAGAGGCCTTCAGCTCTCTGAACTTTTATCTGCTGCTGAAGTATTTCAGAGCGCCTGAATGGGAAATCCAAGTGACACAACCTTGTTCAGATTTACACACTGCACTAAGCTCTGAGGCTGCTTTTGCGGTTTTAGCATGCTGTGAAAGCCAGCCAATTGTGGCTCATAAATCATGATTTATGGCTTAGGAGATTGTTTCCCAGCCTGGGCACGTACTCTCAATATGTGGACCAACTCCCCAAATTCTCATTCCTTCAGTTGAGGGATGTGAAATCTATAACGGATGCGTGGTTGGCTTATCACAATGTATAAACCAAGGTAGTGTTATGGTTTGTCCAAGAGTCATGACTAAAATAAGCTATAATATAAGATAAGATGCGATTTGCCCCCACCTCTGCTCTCTTAACAAGTTGTAATTCATGAACTCATCTTTCTTTGATTTTTATTCATCACGAGTCATTGGAGCTGAACTGGCATCGCTCATACCAGTGGTTGTGTGATTCTTGGCTATTTTAATTACTTGTATTCTGTTCTATGTTCCCCTTTTCCCCTTTTGAGATGTTCGCCGACCTGAGTCCCTCCCGGAGAAGGGCGGCATACAAATAATAAAATTCAATTCAATTCATTTCATGGAGCAGAGATATTCCACGAGCATATCCTGGAACACCCCAAAATGCCTTCACTGTTGTATTGTGGACAGTTGTAGCTTCCCAATGCTCTTCAAGACAGACCCATGCATGGCGCATCACAGTTATCCAACTGGGAGGACAAGCATGAATTACTGTAAGTAGCTCATGTTTTAGATCAGGGCTGTCCACCCTTGGCAACTTTGAGACTTGTAGATCTTAATTCTTAGAATTCCAAAAGTTGAAGTCCACAAGTCTTAAAGTTGCCAAGGTTGGACATCTGTTGTGACTCAGCAGAAGTCTGCTGTCAGGATGCAGGAATAACAATGCAGCTGGGGCTCGTTGGTGTCGTCTTCTGGAGATAAAAGGACTGATGGTGCCATGCCTTGGTTGCAGAAGTCAACGTTCATTCATTCGTTC